CTCTTTTCAGAGTGTGAGGAGGAGACTTTGTTTCTAAATTGTTTCTTATAATTTAAAGCCCAACTGAACTTGCAGTTTAAATCAGCAAAGTGCATCAAAACAAATGTTGTGTAAAGCCTTACAGTTGGTTTTATTGCTAGAGCTCGCCAATTCACAGGGAAAGCTACAAGGCTGATGAAGCAGGGAGTGTGTTAGACCTCTGCAGAGAGACCACTGCTTCCAAACAAAGAGCAAGGTTGTTTCTCTACAGCCTACTGGCAGGGCACAGGCTTTTTCTATGAAGGCTGTGCTTGCTTTCTAAAGAAATCCAACTGTAAAACTTTGCACGCATTTTGTTTTGAACCACATTGAAAGTTGTTATTTGATATAAACTGAAAGTTCCATTTAGTTTTAAAATAAAAGTAAATGAACAGAGACAATAAGTCCAACTCAGAGAGGATTTGGCAGGTAAGCAGAGTTGAGAAGTCAATTGCATTAATCTTGGCACTGGGGTTCTCAGGAGTTACAGTAAGCTAGAAGGTGATTCAGTCTAAGTGTAGATTGACCCTCTGACTGTAAAGAAATATGTACAGCTTGTAAAGTCATACATGTATATGCTCTAAAAAAGTTATATGGAATAATACAAAGTTCCTCTGTAAAGCGTCAGCTCGCTGCACGGATGTTAGCACTTTTCTGTGAACTTTGAGAACTTCTTCCATTCGTTTCTAAAGACAAAGTTTTCCCCTTTACCTCTAGAATGAAGTCACCCTGCTGAGAAATGAAGTGGCACAGCTGAAACAGCTTCTTCTGGCTCATAAAGATTGCCCTGTAACCGCCATGCAGAAGAAATCTGGCTATCATAGTGAGTAATGTTCCATTACCCATGGCCTTGGGCTACGTCAGTGAAATACTGCCAAAATGAACCATGCTTCTATTAATACAGGGAGGCGCACATACACTTCTAGTGTTTAACATTAAATATTGAAAATAGGGGAAGGTTATTGCTCACTACGTTTAGATGCTGTTTAAACAGAATTAATTTCCACTCTCCTCCTGAGAAATATTTGTTTGCTCCACTTGATTAACTCCACTGTACGTTTCTAGCACTATAAGCTTTAAAACATTTGTGTGGGGTTTTTTTTTTGTTCAATGAATGCTGTTTAATTAGTACTGTATGTAGAAAATCCCTTAAGCTATTGTGTTTCAGTTATGGAGCGTATAGTATGATTAACATATGCAGAACACACTTAAAAGTCTCTCCAGTGTCTGTAAAAAGATGCATACAAATATATGAATGTGGATTTTGACAGTTATTTTTTTCATTGGTTTGGGATTCATGCTGCCTGAACAATGAATTTATTCCCACACCTTGAATTAAAAATGTAATATTTCAGTTATACGTGTACAGAATTTTGACTTATAGCTGGTTTGGATGTAACTGATGTCCTAGCTCCCAGATGCCTTGATTTTTGCTCCCACAGAAATAAGTAGAGTGTAGCCCAAAAATAGGTATTGTTGGGTGGATCTAGAGGGAGTTTGGGTGGATGTGAATGTGGCTTAAGCTGTACATACATGGGGAAAATAGACTGCCAAAGAGCATAACCGGAATGGTGTCTATCTTGAATTGCTCTACACCCGCTTTTCTGGGACTGCTACTGGGCATAACCATTTTCTCCCTATATCACCAGTTGTCTGACTAGAAAGGTGCAACCAAGTCTTTTTGAGTAATTAACTAGTTCAGTTATGTAGAATGTGAGAGAAGTACAGTACATTGCACGTGTTACAACCTGGAATTAAAATAAATGTTACTGTGATTTGTACCATTAAATTTGCACCATATACTTGACAATTAAAAGAGGAAAATGCCTCATAATCATTGTAATAATAGTTAAATCAAAAGAAAAAAAATAAGTATTTGTTAGTTGCTTAAGTATTCACCTCATACAGTTACGATTTGGTAAAACTATTTTTGGCTGCAATTACAGCTGTAAGGGCTAGTTCACACCAGATGCAGTTGTGATGCAGTCCCTTCAGTTTGGCAGCTGCATCAAAATCTCATCACAATGCTTTCCAATGGGATTTCTGGTGCTCTTTTCACACCGGTGCTGTCAGTTCCGATGCAGTCAGAAAACAAATCCTGCTTGCCACATTTTAGCTGCACCTGATCGCAACAGAACACATCAAAAACGCATACAAATGCACTAGAAAACACCGGACTGCACCTGAAATCCCATTTTAAACTTTAAAAAAAAAACAGCAATGGAACGCAGCAAAAGCGCATCATAAATGCGGGAAAATGCATCACATTGCAGCTACACAGACGCACACAGTTCTGATGCAGTTATGGTGTGAACTAGCCCTAAGTCTTTTAGTCTCACCTAGCTTTGCACATCTGGATTCTGCATTTCATTTTTGCCCAATTTTATCAGCAAAATTCCCTAGCTGTTGGGTTGGATTTGAAATGTTGGTGAGTAACAATTTTCCAGTCTTGCAATAGATTCTCAGTTTTGAATGGTCATTGTCTTACCATAATAAGACACCCAGGTTTTTTTGTCTTTTAACTACTCCGGTGTAGACTTGACTGTGTTTTCAGTTATTGACCTGCTGGAAGGTGAAACTTTGTCCACTCTTAGATCTCTTGGAGTCTGAGAGAGGATTGACCCAGATTTGCCATATACAGTATTGGTTTTATTCATTTTGCCCTTAATCCTGACCAGTTTCCCAGTCTCTGCCAATACAAAACATCACCTCATCATTACGCTGCCACTACTATTCTTCACTTTGGAGATGGTGTTCCCATGGCTATGTCCGGTGTTGACTCTTCACCATTCCCAGAAAAATTGTTTTGGCCTTATTAGATAAAAAAGCGTTATCCATAAGTTTTCTGTGTCTCCGGCATGCCTGGTAAAAACACCAGATAGGGTTTGCTATGTTTTTTTTTTCATTAAGGTCTCTCTTCTTGTCACTCTGTTGTCAATGGATAGTTGGCCTCTTTGCCATATCATTATGTTTTGATGGACAGGTCTCTCTTGACAAAGCTACAACTGCGCCATATTCTTTCCAATACTTTTTACATTTTTAGTAATGGATTAATGGTGTTTCAGGAGATGTTAAAGTTAGATGTTTTTAACTCAACCTTAAATGATGCTTCTCCACAACTTTATCTCAGACTTGTTTTTATAATTGCTTGGTCTTCACGATGCTGATTATTTACATATGTTTTCTAACAGACTTTGAGATCCTGTGACACTTTAATTGTACACAGCCATTGCATCAATTCAATCAGTTGTGTGACTTGCTGAGTTAAATGTACACCTTAGCTCATTTAAGGATAGCAAATGAGGAGAATACTTAAACATTCATTTGTGAATTTGTCTGTGTTTCATGGGATCCAGAGATGGTCTAGTCCTTGGCAACAGCAGTGTGTTCCACCCCCACCCCTGCTCCTCTAGTCATCTAATTTATACAAAGGAAAGATGGACTAGACAAGTTTGAACACTTTGTCCAGTCTTTATTAAGCCCTCCATAATAAGCCAGTACTGGCAGCTGTCTGGCTACCATTCCTCCTCCCCTCATCATTCACCTAAATATGTTTGGGCAAGCTGAGTGTACATGTTTAGAGTACTCCCAGCTGATGAACATGCCTCTCTGCACCTCGATCATACTCTCACAATCAACCACTTTTGTATGTCAGCACCTTTCCAATCCCTTGGTGTGCTGCAGTGGCATTCTTTCTGAATGGCACCCTGACACACCTTACGAACAATCTACCATGCCGTTTCGTGCTCTATGTTACTAAAAATAGGGCATGTACATTTTTGGTGTATTCAAATGAATAGGCTGCCCTAATGCAACATGTTAACACACCGTATAACACGGGTGCATTAAAGGGTAAGTGCACATTTAGACAAAGTGCACTTATTCTGACCTGAACAATCCCACCGTCACCCTCTGCTGTGCTATACTTACGAAGATCCAAGGCCCGCTGCTCTGCTATTTGTTGACTGGGGCTGCAAATCTCTCTCTCTTGGCTGTTTCCATCTTCCTGCTGGAAAACAGCCTCATAGAAGTATTTGTATCTGTAATGTGCATGGCTGGCAGAGGGAGCAGTGTAACACTGGATGTAAGCAAAAGCTAAACTGTGCCTGTTGGGTCTTGGTAAGTATGAATCTGCAGAGATAGGAGGATGGAATCGTTTAGGTCAGGGTGAGGATAGAAAAAGATATGTGCAGTTTGTTTTAAATCAGCCACAACAGTGTAAATCCTGCCTTAAACTTATATCCAATTAAAATATTTTTGTTACATTTCTGTCTACTTTCTTAGATTTTTCACTATTGTCTAATTTGCCTTCATAATGGTGGCATTATCTAATGCATGATTATGCCTACATCATCTTCATATTTACAAATCCAATATACAATGTATAAATAGTTGTCACATGTCTTAACATCAGAATTGTGACTAGTCACCTCTGTGACATTTGGAAGGTTAATTGAGCCTTCCCATTTCTCTTTCTCTCGCATTTTTGGCTGTGCTGTACAATGTTCCAGCCAGCTGCTGCCACTGAATAAATGGCCAATTTTTGTCCCCGGTACACAAATTTTTAACAAATAACAATGCTGGGAATGCATTAGGCAACACTCATAATATATAACCCACAGCTTTCTCCCTTATGATTTAATGATATTCCGGGATATTTGTAAATGTGAAGATTGTCCCTGCCATATGCAAGCACTTCATTTTAATTTGCCAGTGTCAGTAATTCAGGAGGATAAAGAAACATTTTGTATTGCATGCAAACAGTTCCTCAGGTGCTCGCGATAAAACTTAATAGCCTCCATCTTTACTTGTAGTCATTTTAAGCTTTTTTTATCAGAGCAGGCAATATTTTTTAATTTAAAAGAATTGAGCGGTAAAGGCAACTTTCCATTTGCCATATATATTGAGATAGCTGATTTTGTCATTTCTGAGCTGATAAATCTTACTCCACGGATGCGCAGTCATTTGACAGGGCTGCAGAATAACATTTTGCAGTAAATTGGATGGGTATAGGCATATGTTGGAGATTGGTATTAACAATGATTGCAGGGAGGATGAGGCTATTATCCTTTACATCTGATAAACCCACATAATGTCAGATAGACGTTCCAGAGATCTGGCATTGTACGCTCTGTTTGTCTTTGATGTGCTTCCCATATCCTTGTAAACAAGCCGTGTGGATATTAATCTGGCCCTGAATGTGTTTTTGGCATTGCGCAATTATTATAGCTAAACGCACTGTCATATTGTGGAATTGGGTTGCATGGAATAATTACTGTATGCTGATATTGCCCACACAATACAGGGTTTGTTAATCAGGCCCCCGCACATGCAATATATATAGTCATTGAATTTTGAAGACAAATAAAGTGGCCATAACCTTATCTGGTCTTGTTTTCCTAATACGTTGTGTAAGGATTAGCGTGCACAGGTTGATATTTACAGCTGATGACAGAAAAGAAATAAAAATAGACTAAGGAAGTCACCCCGATGTGTAAAGGAAACTACATCTTAAGCCATATTGTCTTCCTAATTTCCTATGATTACTTTATTGTAAGATTCTGGTCAGTTTCAAATTTCCTTATAACCTTTATTTATCGTGTCACAGGACATGTTACGTCTGGCTTTGCAACATGTTCCCTTCTAACATTAGAATTGAATATGTTTGGTCCTAAAAACTAAGCTAACAATACCTCTGGGGGCTAAGAACTGCTCTCCCGTTCCCCCCACCCTTTCCGACCCACCGTTCAAAGAATTCAGTGCCAGTAAATTAGTGGCCAGTAGAAGCTCTGGCATTGCACTGTTCAATGGTTTGTGTTAGCT